GATTTTATTGTACCTTCCTTCAAAGTGTGTCGCAGCCGTCGATACTCGGTCGGCTCTGAGTTTTGCAGAAAGCGTCCGAGTCGAACACCTTGAATTTTTTCGTATTAAAGCGGGCAAGTACGAAGGATACCTCGATGACGTAATGGTCACTCCCGAGGTCTAGGGCGGTGTCGACCAACTTCACCTCACCTATATTCTTAGGAAGGCCCCAAGCATGATTCTTAATATTCGTGTGGCACAGCATCAACAAAATGCACAAATGTTCTTACAAGGGTAAAGCGGGTACCAGGCTTTCACGAAAGGCAAATATTAGCAGAGTAGACGCTGCCCCACGACCGAAAAATTATGATGACTCAAGGTGAAGTGGGTACCATGCAAATGTGCTTGTAGTACTTGGCCCAAGAGTGTTCGAAGGAGGCTTTAGGAAGGCAGCCTATTGAGCTTTGGGTGTGACTGTTCTGCGCTTTCCGCGCCGGCTTGGTGCCGGTGGTGGCAGTAAATAATTAATAAAAACACGGCGTTTGCAAGAAAAATCAGCGCCTAGTCGATTAGCTTCTTTATTACTAGGTGGAGTCCCCACTCTGTGGCGCCATTGATCGTGTTCGCTGTCCTGGCGATTCAAACCACGGCTTGTCGTGCCACAAGGCTTTGGCAGCTGAGAAGGACTGCCTCCCAGGCCTCTTCAGTTAGTTTGGGGTTCCGGAGTAAAAACATTGATCTGGCATGCCCAAACCATGTGGTAGGCGTCAGGCACCTCCACACAGTACTGGCAGACGCCACTAAAGGTAGAGTCCAAATGCTTAAGCATAGCCATGCGCAGTACCATATTGGTGACTAGACGAAAAAGTTTCTTGTCCCCCTTCCTGAGTCCTTTGCATGGCGTAGGAAAGCGGCGGTTTGAGTCCTGGTATTGTGTAGTTATCTCTCTAAAATTCGGTAGAGGAGCGTTCTCTTCAGGATAACAGGGGATGGGATAAGCCGTGCCCCGATCCTGGAGAGTGTGGCCTCATTGTCTGCGAGGCTCTGATGGCCGGGAGTCCAGATTAGTGAGCGGTAACCTACTCGTGGAAAAGCCTCGAACAATTTTGGCACCTAGGTGTGAGATCCATCTAAGCATGAGTAAATTTCGGCGCTCTGAAGAACAGATCATCTACCTACCTGTCTTGGCGTACTATGCGGGCGGTACACCGACCCCCTACTGTAAAGGCCGGTGATGACACCGTAAAACACGTTTGGAGAAAATCCTAATGGTGCCGAGAGGTAGAGTTCATGCCTCTCGACAACCAGCGTACGACTCATATTGATCTGGATGGGTGAAACATGGATCCGTGTTGCCCATGTTCGGGCACTCATACGCACTCCTATGTCTAGAACTCATGCCCGATATGTAGGCAATCCAGGAGTCGTCTGCTTGATGGGGTCTGTGACAGGCGCGTAGATTGATTTGTTTGGTGAGCCCTCAGAGCTTTCGGCCGGTGGTTAACACTGCCAAGGCAATACGTTTGCATTGGAAGCAGTGATCGGGATATATAGGGCTCAAATGACGATTCTACGGCGGGTGACCTTCAAACAATCTTCATCTTGCGTCTGTAAGTGCAGGTATAAAGTCGCATACAAGATGTGAGTAGCGACAAAAGCATGTATGAGACAAAGCCTGGCAGACTGCGTCGTCAAGTGATGAACGCCCTGCTGTCTTGGGCACTGTTCACGCTGCATTTTCCAGAGCAATACTTTCAACGACAGACAATGTGCCGTTACATGGTTCAGCCGGCAATATAAGCGCATATTCACAAGGGTTGTACACTTTGGCCGGCAGTTGTACACCAGCCGAGTATTGTATTTAGATTTATGCTATCCTCAGGTTGCCATCTTCATGAAGCTCGGGCTCTGTGCAAATAACACTCAGGCTCAGTTTATACGCGAGCGATCAGCGCAGCGCATGTGTCTGGGACTACACAGGTTCGTGGTTAACATTGTATCGCGGAAAGTGGCTGCTAATATCGTTTTGTCAATAACCCATGTGGACTGTTGTGGATTTTATTAAAATTTGATACCTTAGAGGTAAGATATCAACTCACATTTACTAGATACCTAGTCTCCTTTTTCGCTCTCAGCCAAGTTTTCACACACCCCAGATATTTTTTGCAAAAAAAGACTGCATAGTATAAATGTGAACATTAGGTAATTAAAAAAAATGGCTGATATAAGAATGTTATTATATATTATGATGAGCCTTCCCTCAGAAGCCATTATAAAACTCTGAGGTTGAAGAACTTACACAATGTCCTGGTACGTGCACAAATAACCAGATTGCCACATACCTTTCTGTGAAGGGGAATAAATATCCCCCCTCCCCGAAAAGGATCGTGAGGAAATGCGAATGGCCCTTTGTGCCGAGAGAGGGTACCGTTCCTGCCTGACATTCATATTCACCGACTTGTGCCATTGTCTTGAGAGGCGTCCAGCCATCGAACAGTGACACGAGTGAACGGGAGAGTGGGGCGCAGAGAGGGAAAAGCGAGTGGTGAGAGAATAGGCGGCGAAGCACTGCACCTACCCTCTCCTTTAGGGTCGCGCGCCACATGCTCCCGTCGCTAGGCTAGGGGCGAGCATAAGCGCGTGCGCCTTCCACTGCTTCTAAAGGAGAGGAAATGAGAGCGGAGAGATAACACTTGCCAGCGCACGGACACCGCCGCCGAATGCCTGACGTAGCCCGACAAAGAAATTCGTTCGCATTTAAAATTCTCGCATACGAATGGTTTGCCGAATGCTTGGCAAGTATTTCCTTTCTAGGTTGCCCTATTTTACTCCTGTTCATGACATAGGTGTAATATTGGCGCCTCGAAAACTAGCTTTGAACAAAATCAGTGTAACTATATTGAGTAATATCGCTCCTGCCAACCACTTCATGCGACTGAGGAGTAGGCAAAGGCCACAGAGGCCCAGGCGCCGTGGAAGGAGAAACTCCTGCGCGAGACTTCTTACTCAGGAGAACACATATTTATTATTAGGCGTACTGACGCGCCCTCAGACATTCCTAAAGTTGACTAGAGTTGACTCTGGCGCTGCGATTGTTCAGGGACCATGGGAATGAAGGGTAGCGCATGGATTTGCCTACTCTTCGTAGTTACGGGCGGCAAATCGCAAATATGGGTTCAATTATTGTTGCGTTTCAGTTTTTTTATGAAGGAAAAAAACAAACTGTATCGATTCGAAATGGTAAGCGTAAAAAATTAGGGTGGTGAAGGGAAACTGCTGAACATTTGCCGATTGTTGTTTCATGACAAAGCAGCTTCAAACCACGCGAAGCCACAAGCAACGTAAAGTACCATGATTAGGTTAATCCATGTACTACCCATAATTGCCATGCTCGCTAAAGCCCCATGCACTGCAGCTCCCATAGACAGTGTACCGCCAGAATTCCCTCTAGCGTATACATAAGAAACTCTATGAAGACGCCGTTATATCACAAAGGAGAGGGCCAGCGAAAGCCAGATAGAGATGATGATGATGATTCTGATGATGATGATCTTTTTTTGCTTTGAGAGAGAGAGAGCTCCCAGCGAAAAAGCAAAGCACGGTTCATGCACGCGCTCCTCGTCCAGCTTTTCTGTCCGAGACGGACTGCTAGTCCCAGCGACGCCGATACGCGTTCTCTGGAGCGCACACGGACACCTATTGCGTTTCTTGCAGGACGCGAGGCGCGTTTGCACGGTTGCTCATGAGCATCCCTTGCAGGTCATGCAATTTAACTGTCGGTTATTGACAGAATGCAAAGCGCTTGCAGCTTCAGATAGCTCAAAAGACCAAGTGAAATTCTGTACAATAAAACAACTGTAGTTCAAGCTTTCTACCATTATCATGAGTGCTAGGCACTAGGGGGGTCACAAATAAACGAGATGGTCAGTTTATTAGTAGGACCATCTCTCGATGGATGAGTAATCTTTCTACTTCTAGCCATGAGATACATACGAGATTCCAGCTATACTATATAGAAAGTTTAAAACTGGTACCGATATGCCTGAAACAATAGACGCGGTAAAAATATCAGCCAATAAATTGTTCAGGAAAGCGTCCGTCGATTCCTTTTATATAATCGCAAGTTTTGATAACCATAATTTTATGCTGAACCTTTGCGTTGCACTTACATTTACGCTGGACTGCTCTGACCATACTGCCGCACCGTAATTTTAATGGATAGAAAATTGTTACTGATTGATTTATTGATTGATGAATTGATTGATTGATAGAATGATGAGTTGGGTTGAACGCCTAAAAACCACCAAAAATTATGAGAGACGCCGTATGGAGGTCTCTGGAAATTCTGACCAAGGGTACATCATATTCAACGCCACGTTATGTCTACTCGTGAATTTTTAATCAAACGTTTTGTTGAGCTGATTTGTACATGCTTACTGATATACGAAAATATGCGCACCATCAAAGAATACTAGCTGTAGCATACAGACGAAGAAGTCGAGAAGCAACAATGCTCACCCGCTTTCACATTGACGTCTCTCGCGCGCACTTCGGTTTCGTTTTTCCTTGCTAATCATATCCTCTAACCAAGATACAATGCTTTGGTTCCTCTGTTTTGACACTTTGCTGCAGGGATATATTTCGGGCATTTTCTTACCTAATTCAATCCACAAATTGCATACAATTTTACTCTTCACTCAACAAACGTTTGTAACGTAAATTAAACGTGGCACAATTAAGAACTGCAATCAAATTCGTTGAATTCAGATAGATTAACATATGCCTCAGTAGCTCGAAATAGCAGAACTTCGCAATGAAGTTTACTGTTATTTTGTTTTTTTTATTTTTAATTACTTTTCAATGAATTTGTCTTTTTGGAGGTATCACGAAAACGCTCGAAAATGCTGTCTTGGCCGACCTTGCGAAGTGGGTCACATCACACAGACGAAGAAGTCGAGAGTGCTTTTTCAGTGACAAAGCCCTTGCTGCGTCAAAGAGAGGATTTGATATTGACGGTCCTGATGGCATCGCGCTCAGCAAGCGAGTTCAAAAGCGATGAGGAGAAACCGCTTATATCCTTGGTGCGCATCAAGAAAGAAATCGTGGATTCCTATAAAGACCCGGTGCCAGGACTTTTTGTTTTCCCAGACGAAAACAACATGGCGACGATCTACTCTATTGTGCTTGGACCCGCGGATACACCATACGAGGATGCTATCCTGATTTTTGAATTACTCTTACCGAAGGACTACCCCATCAATCCCCCAAAGGTGAAGTTTGTGTCTATGGATGGACGTCACACCATTCACCCATTCTTTTTCAACAACGGGACTGTCTCAATCAGTATTCTCGGAACCTATGCTGGACCGCAGTGGAGCTCCGCTCAGACATTTTGCTCGGTCCTATTGTCGATACAGAGCATACTAACGGCTGAACCATTCTTCGACCATCCGTTCAAGAAAAATGCGAACCGGCAAGCACACAGTGAGGAAGCGGCAGAGTATCACACTTACGTCCGATATGAAGCTATTAGGATGTCAGTATGCAAATCCGTGCAAAGCTGTCTGGACGACTCAACACCGTACCCTCATGAACTCCGGCAAAAAGTATTCGCACTTTATGTCGAGATGTTTGACAAGTACGTGGCTTGGCTACAAAACCATCTGGACTTGAATGGCACCCCCATCAAAAATCCTTTCTGTGGAGGACTGGGATCTTATGAGTTTGATGCCTTGATCAGCCGGCTTGAAACTCTCAAGGCACAGGTGTCGAAGAAAATTCAGCCCGATGACGCGAACACCGCCCCCTAAAACTGGACTCAAGCCCTCATCCTACAATGATGCACTAAATGCCGGTTGGAGTGGATCATAGATTATTCAGGACGAAATTCTCTTCGGCCGTATGAGTAAATTGGACTCCTTCGACCTTGAGCTAGGTAGTTCTCTGGTTAACAAAAGATCTCACGAAGTCGTTGACCCTCTATTATAGCTTTAGGCTGGCAGTAGACTGTAGAGTGAGTTTGTGAGAAATTTTGTCAAAAGCCTTCTTAAGGTCTTATTGAAAGATGTATCTCCCAAGCTGTGGTCGCCGTTGTTATGCTTTATTAGCTTCATGACTTCATGTATGGAGAGGCCAGCACTAAAACCACTTATACTGTGGGTGTACACGTCATTGGTCTCGAGGTTCACCTTGAGTAGATTTCAGCATGGCATGCTCTGTGACCTTACCGATACAGAAAGTTAAGAAAATTACTCCTAGATTATCTATTCTTGGTGCTTTACCGGGATTCGGGATTAGTACCGTGTTAACCGTCCTCCACTGGGCGGGGACCTTCCCACGGTACCACTGCTCATCAATATTTTCTGTGATAAAGTCAATGAACCCGCCATTAAGATTATTGAGCATCATACCAGTTTTGCCAATAGGGCAAGGGGCGGATTTGCCATTTAGGGAAAAGAGAGCCTGTCGGGTATCGGCCACAGTAAAGCCCTCGTCACACTCCCGCACGCCACACCCCGCGTAGTCCGGAAACTGTGTGGGGGCAAAGCTATCCGAGACTTTAGTACTTTTCAATGAGCTTGTTGACAACCAAATTGTCTGTAGCAGAGGTGGTAGCACGATGCATGTCTCGCACAAGGGGTCGCCTCTGCCTGGACCTGGTGCTGCCCTGATCGAGACGGTGTTTGAAAAGACCCCAGATCCTCCCAGATATGAGCTGACTCTCGACGTTCCCGAGAGCTCGTGCCATTTTCGTTTGCGCAGGGTTTTGCAGTGCTCCTCAATCACCCTGTTAACCTTGGAAACCCTCCTGCAGAGCCTCCCGTTATGATTCTGCCCATACAACTTCGTGAGTAGCACTTGCTTCGCTTGTAGTAGTTGAGCAAACTTGTTGTTCATGGTTTCAACTCATTGGTTGCTGCCATGGCATCATCTCTGATTTTATTGTAGCTTCCTTCAAAGTGTGTCGCTGCCGTCGATACTCGGTCGGCTCTGAATTTTGCAGAAAGCGTCCAAGTCTAACACGTTGAGTTTTTTCGTCCTAATGCGGGCAAGTACGAAGGATACCTGGATGACGTAATGGTCACTCCCGAGGTCTAGGGTGGTGTCGACCCACTTCACCTCACCTATATTCTTAGGAAGGCCCCAAGCATGATTCTTAATATTCGTGTGGCACAGCATCAACAAAATGCACAAATGTTCTTACAAGGGTAAAGCGGGTACCAGGCTTTCACGAAAGGCAAATATTAGCATAGTAGACGCTGCCCCACGACCGAAAAATTATGATGACTCCAGGTGAAGTGGGTACCATGCAAATGTGCTTGTAGTACTTGGCCCAAGAGTGTTCGAAGGAGGCTTTAGGAAGGCAGCCTATTGAGCTTTGGGTGTGACTGTTCTGCGCTTTCCGCGCCGGCTTGGTGCCGGTGGTGGCAGTAAATAATTATTAAAAACACGGCGTTTGCAAGGAAAATCAGCGCCTAGTCGATTAGCTTCCTTATTACTTGGTGGAGTCCCCACTCTGAGGCGCCATTGATCGTGTTCGCTGTCCTGGCGATTCAAACCACGGCTTGTCGTGCCACAAGGCTTTGGCAGCTGAGAAGGACTGCCTCCCAGGCCTCTTCAGTTAGTTTGGGGTTCCGGAGTAAAAACATTGATCTGGCATGCCCAAACCATGTGGTAGGCGTCAGGCACCTCCACACAGTACTGGCAGACGCCACTAAAGGTAGAGTCCAAATGCTTAAGCATGGCCATGCGCCGTACCATATTGGTGACTAGACGAAAACTTTTCTTGTCCGCCTTCCTGAGTCCTTTGAATGGCGAAGGGAAGCGGCGGTTCGAGTCCCGGTAATGTCTACTCATCTCTCTGAAAGTCGGTAGAGGAGCGTTCTCCTCGGGATAACAGGGAATGGGCAAAGCCATGGCCCGGGGAGAGTGTGGCCTCATTGCCTGCGAGGCTCTGATGGCCAGGAGTCCAGATTAGTGAGCGGTAACCTACTCGCGGAAAAGCCTCGAACAAGTTTGGCAGCTAGGTGTGAGATCCATCTAAGAATGAGTAAATTTGGGCGCTCTGAAGAACAGATCATCTACCTACCTGTCTTGGCGTACAATGGTGGCGGTACACTAACCCCCTACTGTATATGCCGGTGATGACACCGTAAAACACGTTTGGAGAAAACCCTTAATGGCTCCGAGAGGTAGAGTTCATGCCTCTCGACAACCAGCGTGCGACTCATATTGATCTGGATGGGTGAAACATGGATTCTGTGTTGCCCATGTTAGGGCACTCATACCCACTCCTATGTCTAAAATTCATGCCCAATATGTAGGCAATCCAGGAGTCGTCTGCCTGATGAGGTCTGTGACAGGCGCGTGGATTGATTTGTTTGGTGAGCCCTCAGAGCTTTTGGCCGGTGGTTAACACTGCCAAGGCAATACGTTTGCATTGGAAGTAGTGATCGGGAGATATAGGGCTCAAATGACGATTCCACGGAGGGTGACCTTCAACGAATCTTCATCATGCTGCTGTAAGTGCAGGTACGAAGTCGCATACAAGATGTGAGTAGCGACAAAAGCAAGTATGAGACGAAGCCTGGCAGACTTCGTCGTCAAGTGATGAACTCCCTGCGGTCTTTGGCACTGTTCACGCTGCATTTTCCAGAGCAATACTTTCAACGACAGACAATGTGCCGTTACATGGTTCAGACGGCAATATAAGCGCATATTCACAAGGGTTGTACACTTTGGCCGGCAGTTGTACACCAGCCGAGTATTGTATTTAGATTCATGCTATCCTCAGGTTGCCATCTTCATGAAGCTCGGGCTCTGTGCAAATAACACTCAGGCTCAGTTTATACGCGAGCGATCAGCGCAGCGCATTTGTCTGGGACTACACAGGTTCGTGGGTGACATTGTATCGCGGAAAGTGGCTGCTAATATTGCTTCGTCAATAACCTTCTAATATTGCTAATATTGCTTTGTCAATAACACTTTCGCTGGCCGTTGTACACTAGCCGAGTAGTGACATTACATTCCAGCACCGTTGCAGACAGTCACTGCAGCGCCACGGTGAGTCATGGCGCGAAGTAATATGAGTGGCCGCTGCCCTGGTGCTTTTCTGGTGACCGCGCGCTGCCTAGGCACCCAAATCGCGCGAAGATCTCTTGGCGCTTTAGTCCCTAGCGGTGCGCCGACGTCGACTGTCAGCGCTTCCTCTAGTTTGGTCGAGGTTGATTTTGGTGTTGTGCGGTGGTGTGTAAGGATTGCGGTATTATAATCTGGTGATGTGGCAGTGATTCTCGGCCGACCAATCTTTCAGAGGGGGGAGATCAAGTGCCGTGGGTGTTTTGTGCAAGCGGTAGCGTTGAATGACCAACATCCCGCGTCGATGTGATATGCTCAAGTGCTGGCGGTCTTGTGTGTGCTGTGTGGGGGTTTGTTTGACAAATTTAGTTCCCTGCAGATTTGATGACACGCTATTGTTGGCTGGTTCATGCAAACCGTAGCGTTGAGTTACACCCGCGTAAGCGTGATCATATTTGTGCAGACATACTTCCGAATGATATTTAGGGTCTGACACACTGTACTTGTTTGACAACACCACTGTCACACGGGTTCTTGTTTGCTATGTCGTACCTTTTTATATCGCAGTTAGATGACGGCTGCTCCGTATTTGATCCGATTAGTTTGGCCAGTTAGCGGTGACTATTACTGGTGTCACTCGAATACTTTTGATCGAGATCTACAGGTCTGTCGCTGCTGCGCCGGATCGAGTTTGGCGCAGACGCTCCAGCTGATTGCAATCAAAAGTGCCTGTCTGACACCGGTATGATCGCACGTGCGAATGCTCAAACCCTTTCTGTGCGCTCTTGTGGTCTCTAGCTTCTTGGCTGCTGGTTGCGTCAGTAAACGAGCATGCAAGAAAAACAGTTTACTACATATACAAAGCTATTATATCAAAATTATGCAGAAAAGGTGCATCATACTGTGTAGCTAGGTCTGTAATAATAAGCACATGTACACAGAAGGACTGAAAGCTGGGCCCGTTGGTTACAGTACTTTAACATATTTTAACACAGCGCACGACTCTGCGGGCACAAGAGCGATTTGTCCCTTCTCTAGTGTCCGTGTAGTCCTGCCCTGTGTTACAATACATAGTTTGCACGTGCGTCACGCAGCGCCGAGTCGTCACTTCCGAAATGCGCCACCGACATGCCTGGGTACCTACTGTCTCCGTGGCCGACCGCCGCCGTGTTGTTTCCTCGTGCGTGCGCCCGTTCAGTTTTGCCTAACGATGCAAGTTGGAGCAATTATCAGCTGCTGGCGAGGCAAGTTGATATAACAGTCCACGAAGAGTGAGCAGAGCGTCAAGGTGTTCTCTCTGCCGAAAGTTATTACCTGAAATTGAGAACGCACATTGCGATTTTACAAAAAGCACTGGCATGTTTGGCTGGCACAGATTAACAAAAACGACTTGAAGAACCGGTGATATTTGCATCTTCAGGTGTAACTTTATTACGGGTAAGTGCTATATTCAAGCACGTACCTGCAAACAGAGATAGGTACTTTATATACATAGTTGTCCGCGACCACTGCGTGCACAATCAGCGTGTCAGGGAGGCAGTTAAAATTGTGAAGGCGCTCGTGGGAATTCAGGTATTGCATTCAAACAAACTGTGAATACGAATGTGTAACGCTATTCGTTCACTCGCGATTTGAAGTATAGCCGATAGGTTCGAGTTGGGGGTTCAGTTTTTTAAAAAATTGGTCGATTGATTCCCTAAAATGGTCTGCATCATTTTCAGGGACAATACTG